TCAACCAGCTGGTGGACTGGTTTGGCTACATGCCCCTGGTGTCCTCCCAGCTGCGCCTCGACCCCGTCCTCTTCAAGGACCAGGTCTCCGTCCTGCGCAAGAAATACCCACGCTTGGAGAAACCCTGAGGGCTGCCAGGCTGCTCTGGGTGCCCTGCTCCCGGGGCACGGAGCCCTCCGGGAGCAGGTGGTTGCTGCTGCTAACGGGGTTTTACTCGTTATTGGGTTTTACCAGTGCAATAAAGGAGGGTGGAGAGGCAGAGTCTGTGGCTGTAGAACGTGGGGAGCACTGGGAGCGCTGGTGTTTGAGTGCACCATTGCTGATGCATTTGGCACCTTGGGAATAACCCAGGCAGCTCCTGGCTGCACATACAGCTCCCCCAGCCCCGCGGGGAGGGCGAGTCCTTCACCTTCCTGAGGGCAAACAGAGGAGTGATAAGAGGCGAGAGCAAGGCCAGTGCGTCCTCCTTCCCCCCACTGGGATGGGTCCACCCACAGCACCAGGCACTCCAGCACCCCACTGCCTCACAGCGCTCCTCGGAGAAGGGAAAAGGTGTGTTTTAGCTGCCTTGCCCCCCAGCTGAATAGAAATAGGGAATATTAAGGCTGCTGGCTTCCAACAGCTACTGCCCTCCGGCTTCCACAGCCCTGGGTCTGCCCTTGGTTCCTACAGATACCAGAGATAACACCCTGATACCAGACCCAACACCCCTGTGCTCTGCTTTATTTTCCACACATAAGAAGTTTCCCCTGGGAAGCCAGCAGAGGAGTCAGTCGCGGGGGGGCTGGCATTCCCGGCAGTCCCTCATCTCCTCGGAGTAGCTCTCCACCTGGATGGTGGTGGTGTGGAAGTGGAAGGTGCCCTGCAGCCGGGAGCTGGCCTCCTCCAGCACCTCCTGCGCGCTGGCAGCCGCGTCTGCGGGGAGAGAGGGACGGGCTGTGGGGGTGTGGGTGAACCCCGACCCCCCACCCTGTGTTGGGATGGAAAGGGAAGGGACGTGGGGGTGTGGGTGACCCCTGACCCCCCCTTGGGATACTCACTGATGGCAATGTGCACCGAGAGCAGGGGCTGTGCCGCCGTCAGCGCCCAGATGTGGAGGCTGTGCACGGCCTCCACCCCCCGCACCGCCAGCAGCGTCTCCCGCACCGCGTTGAAATCCATCCCTTTGGGGGTCCCTGGGGAGGGAGAGCCATGGGCGCTGCAGGGAGGGGGACCACGGCACCCATGGGTGACCCCATGGCCCAGACCCTCCCTCCCGGTGGGTTCCCACCTTCCATGAGGACGAGGAGGACATCACGCAGGATGGTCAGCGTTGTCCCCAGCACCAGCGCGGAGAAGAGGAAGGTGCAGATGGGATCCACGAACTTGTAATTGGGCTGGAGAGGGTGGGAGAGGGTGAGGCCTCCCTGGAAACATCACCTCACCCCAAACCCCCAAGAGCACCAGCAAGCAGGGGCCAGTCTCACCCCTATGTAGGGACACAGTCTCACCCCTATGTCTCTGTCAGAGAGAGAGACAGAGACTGTCAGAGACAGAGACCCTTCTGTCTGGCCAGAGCTGGCTGAAGCCGCTGCCTCCATGTCCCCAAGCATCCCCTTTGCCCCCAGTAACACCCAGACCTTGAAGAAGATGATGTAGGACGCGATGAGGACACCGACACTCTGCAGCAGGTCCCCCACGACGTGGACGAAGGCGGCGCGGACGCTGGCGCTGGGCTGCTCGCCGGCTGCCCCATGGCTGTGCCCGTGCCCTGTCTGGTGCAGAGCCAACCCCATCCTGCGGGCAGGACAGTGGTGACACCCCCAGGGGCCACCAGACACAGGGAGGGGACACCCAGGGAGGACAGGAGCCAGCTGGCCACACGTACACGATGTTGACGGCCACGGCGCAGGCGGAGGTGATGAGCATGACCCCACCCTCAATGTCGTAGTCACCTGAGAGCAGGCGTTGGGCTGCCAGGTAGACCAGGACCCCCGTGACCACCCAGATGGAGAGCACGGAGAGCAGGGCCCCCAGGATCTCTGTGGAGAGACCCCCCCACCCCACATTGTTGCTTTGCCACTGTGCCAAACCTGAGCTCCCTTCCGGGCTCCCCAGCAGCATCGGGGTGTGGGATGGGCACCCAGCACCCAGTCCTTATGGGCAGAGCACCCTGGGGTGCTCTGAGTGCTCCCTGGGGTTCCTGGGAGCTGGATGGTGGGGCCACCCCGTTACCTGCCCGGTGCCAGCCGAAGTTCATGGTTTTTGTGGGTGGGCGTGAGGACACCCAGAGTGCAAAGAGGCTGATCATGATGCTGGCAAAGTCTGTCAGGAGGTGAGCTGCATCCGTCAGGATGGCCAGGCTGTGTGCCAGGTACCCCCCTGCGGAGAGGGGACATCAGTGGGGACATTGGGGTGGCATCCCACCCCGAGGCAGGCACAGGCCAGCTCACCCCATGCCACGGTGGGGGCCCCACTGTGTGTTTTGACCCACTGAAAACCCACAGGGACCCCTGCCTGCACCCACAGCAGGGAATCAGGACAAGAGGGGCTGCGGGCACCCACTCAGGGTGATC